TTCATTCAGCCGATTCAGGATGGTCAGCTTGAAAGGAAGAAGCTGAAAATAGCACAGAATCCTCTTCCAGACAACACTTCGAAACCAGAACACTTAAAAGACCCTGAAGCCAATTTCATGGAGTGATTTGCACGTGTTAGGCCTCATCTTGTGCCACTTCAAGCCGCCTCTTCTTCCTGTCAGGCCTCATCTTCCAGTCTTTGTTGCATCCATTTTCGTCCGCCACGTGGCCCCAGTGACCCCATGAGCGGCAGCAACTTGGAGGCGAAGAATGAGCTGAACAGCTTCTTGCAGAAGACTCTTGGTGAGTCACCGCGGACAGACGGCGCTTCGAGGGGGTTCGGACGGACTCCATCTCCCCAACTCCGAAGGCGGAGGGGAGGGTGGGGTGGCAGCGTGGGCAGCGTGGTTTGGGGGAATCGCGCCCAAAAAGGGGAGCCTTGGGGAACATCTGCCTTTCAAGGATCTCCGGAGTGCCGTGGAAGGACGAACCTGCAGGGTCTCTCGAAATCCGCGAGCTCGCGGGACCGGTGGGCCTGGTCCTTGCGGACCAAAGGACTGCTTGGTCCGGCTTTCGGAGCCATGAATCGACAAGAGAGAGACACTCTCCGGAAGCACGTCCCGAAAGAATCACGGCGCGGTCGCATGGTGAATGGTGGTCGGAGGAGCATGAAATCCGAAGAGCAAGTAGGTGGTAAACTGTACTTCTATGATTCCAGACACTCCATGGGACTGCCATATATGCCGATCAGTTGGGGTGGTTTGAGGGGTGTAGGCATATATGGCAGTCCCATGGAGTGTCTGGGTGATTCCAGAGAGTGTACATGTAGTTGATGTCGTTTTGGAGGACCACAGGCAGGGCTCTCCATGTCCATGTCCATGCCGCTCTGCGCGGCCGTCACCGTCTGATCAGTCGCCAGTGATCACCGGTCATTTCTCACAGAAAGCACCCTGTTGGCGCTAAGGCATTGCAAGAGACCTTTGACAAAGTCAGATATCACCTACAGAGTGAGTGTCTTGGATGTCTTGGGCAGACTTCGGGAAACTGGGCAGACTGTTCTGTTGAAACCGTGGCGCGCGGGACCCTGCTTTCTTCGCGGTTTCGGCCCGGTGGCCGGTGGGGCGACCATCGGGTTCTAGGTTCCAAGAGGGCGAACCATGCATGATTCCCCTTCAAAGCAACAACAGGAAACGCACGAAGCCACCAATCGCGACACTTCACTTTGGGGATGCTTCCCAGCACTGGAGTGTCGCTGTCGCCCCAAGAGCGACACACTCTTTTTCAGCAGCCACGGTGCTAGTGTGACACCGGCGAACGCCGTTTGGTGTAACACCGGCTCTCCAAGTCCGACCTGAGTGGCTCCAAATGAGGTTAGCTTCTCAAAAGAAGAACCACTTCGTCCATGGGGAACTATAGGTAGTGGGACTCATTTGTTGGAAGCAACTGGTTTGCCCGTTTCGCGCGGAAAGACATGGGTCTCACCCGTTTCCCTTTCGTCTAGACACCGCGAACGGATATTCCTGCAGGGGGTATGTACAGCGAAAAGCTGAAGGACCGGAGGACGCGGTCATGCGACACGATGCAAGTGACGTCGGTAGATGAACCCAGGTATCCTGGTGCATTGACCCACAGGTACTTGAGTGGGGAAGGAGAGAAGAAGACCGACCCTTAATGATCTGATTCTCCAATCTCTCTAGCACATTCCATGAATATGAATATAACCAGTCAGATCAGTCGTGGCTGGGAGGATGACATAGGATGACCATGATTGGATGGATCACCCGTGTCATGCAGTCGTGCCACTTCATTTGTGCGGCTTCCACAGATGACTTCACGCAAGCCCATGCTCCTCTCCTCCTCACCGCGCGTTTCACGCGAGGCAAATATGGGGTGCAATACCAGGCGGGAGCGAGTGGGCGGACACCAGCCGGTGGGCTGTCCGGCTCGTGAGGCTGTCTGGTCTAAGCGGTGGGTCGTCCGGTAGTTTGTCGAAAAGCAATCGGTGTGGCAATGCCACTCATCCACTGGGCCCTGGTTTACTACATACCCCTAACTGTAACTCAAGAGGTTTTACCCGGGAAATGGGATGATTGTGGTGCAAAAGTGCACCGACCAAACTTGACCATTTTCATTTGCCATGTCTGAAGTTGCAAAAGTTGCATCTTGCAGGCAGAGCCTGCTTTTCGAGGACTACATGTATACTACCTCCCCCATCCACAAAAAACTCCCAAAACTCATCTAAATGAAAGCGCAAGTGGAAATGAAAGAGCAAGTTCCGGGATCGCGAACGCGAAGAACAAGAATTCTGAACCCCCAGCTTCTCCACTACACTCGGCAATTCCCATGGCAGGCGATACGTACAAGCCGGGACTTGCTCAAAAGAACAGGCAATGTTTGCCAAGATGTTCAGATGACAAACGTCGTGTGGCGAGCGAAGAAACATAGCTGATGCCCCCAATCCAACATATCAAGTCTTTGGCACTCAAAACACAGGTTTCGAGTGTCTTCACTTCAAAAATCAAGCAAATTATGGCAACTCCAAAATGGATGGCTTGCGCAGTGTTCTTCACTTTTTCATAGAAAAGAGGGACCCGTTAAGCCGCCGCAGGGATGTTTACTGGCAAGAATCATTTTCCCAAAATGACTTTCTCTATTTAAACAATTGGCACTGGCAGGGTCAAAGTCGGGTTCTTGACAGCAGCGAAAGATAGTTTAAATTCCAAAAGACACGATTTGCCGGTTTCGGGGTCTAGCCTCGAAACGTGGACGGGTGCCCTTTTGAGGGCAAACCCGGCCAGCTGGGTCTTACCTTGGCAGATTTTTGCTGGCAAATAGCATTTTATCAAGATGTTTTTATCCATTAAAATCTGCCCTGGCCACGTTCACTGGCAAAAGTCATTTTCCCAAAATGTTAGTCATTGCTGTAATAAAATTTGCAGCGGCCACGTTTGGTGGCAAACATCATTTGGGAAGTTATTTTCACCATCAAAATTTGCAGTGGCCATGTGAAATGCAAAAATCATTCCCTAGTAATGTTTTTTCTTGGCAATGTTTACTAGCAAACACCTTTTCCCAAACTGATCTTCTCTGTAAAAAAATTGCGCTGGCAATCCGGGTTCGGGATATTGATTAAAGTCCGGGGAGAAGATCATTGGAGTTTGTATGACACGAAATAAAGCAATATTTGTTTAAGCACACAAACTAGGAGTTTTTGAACCAAGGCCAAGAGATTCAAGATTAACCAACACCCCTTTTCATGTGCAGGTTATATGAATGGGGAATCGTTTAGCTCTAAACAGTCAGAGGAGGAAATACAGGTTTTGATAAACACTCTTTAATTCTGCTGTTTGCAGGCTATCTTCATACTACATGAGGAAAATCCAACACCAAGGAGCGGCTGATGTGTCACACACGGGTGGCAACCCCCCAGGTCCGGCCCCAAGGTCCGGCCGTTCCTTCGTTCCTCCGTGCCCGGTCCCGGAGGCGATTGTGACCCTGAGCTGCTTGTCCGGCCAGGAGTACGCAGGCCACCTTTGCCCTGACATCAAGGTGGGGTGTGGTTAACGGTATGTGGTGGGTGGAAGTCGCCGGGTGGCGTGGGGCGAGCCGTGGGTGGCGGATGAAACCAAGAAGATCTGGTTTTCGCATGGTGGAGTGTTTTCTTCGCCAGCACCTTCTTTTGACCCTCTCCTTTGAGATCCTCTAATGACTCTATTCTTCTCGGAACTTCTTGGAGGTCATGTTGTCGCTTGATTGAATACTAATTTTTGCCCATGTCCATGGATGGTAAAACCATATAAAACCTCTGAAAAGGCATTGGGGGTGTTGAAATATCATCCAAAGTCAAAAGTCCACATGTTACTCATTTCGGGGACCGGACAAGAATCGACCTCGGAAGAGCTGCAGGTCTTTTGCTCCCTGGCACCCGATGATATTTGGCACCCGATGATATGGGCAGGTGACCAGCGGTGGAAGTGGGTGAACATAGCAGCAAAACGAGACTCATTCACCAGAGTGGTACGAAAGCCAAAAACACTGAAGTATACAACACTGAACTATTTGAGGTTGGTGCGACATACTGAAATCAAGCACACTGAAGTATACACCGTGGCTGTACAGAGGCGGTGGGGGATGCGGAAAACCCGGTTTGCAGCCATGCAAGAGCTCATATGTGTGAAACTCAACGTTCTTGGTTCTTACCTCAAAAGGGAACCACCCTGAGATGGAAGAAGGGGGGGCAGTTTGGGAGCACAGTTGGAAGAATCGATCGTCCCAGAGTCGCTGCTTGTTGGTTCGAAACCTGGACTGGACATCCCTTCAAAAACATGGCAAGGTTCTGGACATCCCTTTGGAACATCCAAGTCATGCTTCAGACCCGGTCCCGCCCGCGATCCTCCGAGCCTTTTGAACCGGCCAGGCCAGGATCAATGGGTGGCCTGACACCGGGGGCCTCCTGACCATATTTCTTGCACCCAAAACCAAGCAAAACCAAGCCGTGGTTCCTGTCAACATCACCAGGGTTTGTTCTCTTTTCATCTTTCTAGAACTCCCAATGATCAATCGCTCCACTCCAGGGCACCTCGAGCGTCCCAGGCCGCCATCACCCCTGCCGCTACCCGCGCTCCGCCCCCAGATCGCCCCATGGATCGTCCCCATGCCGATGCCGTTCGTGAAGGCGGCCGAGAAGTCGGCGGCGCAGCAAGCGTTGTTGAACAACGCCTCCTTGGTGGAGGCGACGGGCCAGGAGGGAGTGAAGGAGGGTAAGGAGGGAGTGGACCATGGGTTTTCGGTGGATAGATTTGAAGCATTGGATGCAGATGGTGCTTCTCATTCGCGGGAACTCTGGTGGTGTTAGGGATGCGGCTTCAGACCACAGCACCAGCACCGCCCTTTTCCTTTAGTTGGGAAGGTCAGGGGGTATTACTTCACATCTTCAGCTCATGGCTGAACTTGACTCAAGGTTGCTCAGCTCAAGTCAGGTGTCAATAGCAAAGTCGCCATGGCTTTCCTTCGACTCACCATGCTCTTGTTGTGCCACCGCACGCTGGCAAGGACAAACCGGCCAAGTGTACAAGAGAACATCAAGAACCAGTGGGGCTACGTGGTTTGGGGAGATCATATCGACCATGATGACTACTTGAGAGGCATGATTGCAGTTGCAAACGACTTTGTGTGCGTGGGAGCGTGTGGTTTCACTTTTGATTACTTCAAGGAGCTGATTCAGAAGCAGATCAATGCTTTCACATCGTCAGAACAATGGTACCAGGTAGGCAAACACTTTGTGATGCAACTGGCCAACAACCCTGGGACAATCAGAGACATTGTTGCTGGCAATGCCCTCATTAAAGCAAAAGTTGACATCGCCACCTACAACCATTGGACAGATGAGTGCAGGTTCTGCAAACCTTGCACTTGGTGCACACCGCGCTTCCACTGCAACGACTGTGGGAGCTACCGGGTTCCCAGGCCCAATACCCACCAGCCATATTTTGCCTTCACAGTCCGAGCTCGAAGCAGGGAGTACACGTTCTCCCTCACCAATGATTGCCACAAGAGAGTTTCTGTGGCCTTGCGGTATCTCCCAACTGGTGGCTCTTGGACCACCTTGTGCTGGTACAGCATCGGACCAGGTGCTTCCATCACTCCCAGCACCAATGACCAGACCCTGAGAACCACGAACTCCATTTGGTATTACTATGCCGAGACCTACGATCGCGACGCACTCTGGCAAGGCACGGACAACACTCGCACTTGCCGCGGCCGGTCCTTGGGCATGCGCAAGGTGAGCTCAGTGTCCGGATCCAAGCTGATGCTCCGCTTGACATGCAATCACCGGAGGCTGCTGAACGAGAACCAGACAGAGATCGTGCCTGAGGCTGAGATCCCTGATCAGCAACTCTGCCTGTTGGCGGAGGATGGTTTGGAAGGCACCCTTGAGAATGACACGGATGTCAAGAATGTCTTGGCTTTCCCGAGCCATGATGAGGAGGAAGGAGTTGGGGGGCCACTTTGTACCGAGACGCATGGTTTGGCCTTTTCTGAAGATGGCATTGCATTTGAGGGGCTATCCAAGAGCAGAAGCCTGCCTGGCAACTATACCGAGGAGCTTGACGGTGAAGTGAAATTTTCGTCGCCTTCTTGTGACGAGACGTGTGCGGCCATCGAAGAGTCTTACCAAGAACTCAAGAAGAAACTCGAGAAGATCCATGGTCGCAGGCTGAGCGAAGACCTGATTTAGAGATGTTGAAGGTGCTACCTTTACCATCTTTACCTACTCTAATTAAGTTTTATGACAAGGCCGCAGCGGTTGCTCTCGATCCTGTACAGCTGTTCGATGATGGGTGAGCGTGTGGTTTTTGTCGTGTGGCATTGGTCTTGTGAAGTGCAATCTGCGAACCATTCTCATGCCACCAGAAGGCTATGTGCACATGCCGCTCTGCCATTGCAGAGGCAGATTCGGGTTTGACTTGCACACGTTGGCGCACAAGAGCTGTTCCAACATGTTTCCAATAGCTTAATAGCAGGACTGACTCCTGGGTATGCGCGCACTCCTGCGCCAGGAAGACCTGATGTGCTGACGGGCAATGGACAAGTACCAAAAGTTCGGATCTCGTTCGCACAAGAGTTCCCCCCAAAAAGGATCTCATTCTTGCTAGGTTCCTCCACCTCCAGGTAGGACGAACGTTCGTCCACCTCAGCTTCCAACTGCACTGGCGCAGGCGACGGAGCAAGAGTACTCTGAGAAGAAGAGGGCGGCTTCGAAGCCATTGAGCCTCGAGGTGGGCGAGTCTTGATGGGGCAGAAGTCCAACAAACAGCGTGATCCAAACAGCGTTGGGACAAGAAATCAGGAGATTGAGGGCTTCAACACCCCACTGGGAGGGGGGCTGTGGGACCTGTGTTCTTCTTCCGTTTTCTACCCCCGATGATCTCCGGAGTCCGTCTCCGGAGTCTCCCTTTTTGGGGTCTGTCCGAACTGACCTGTAACAGGACGTAAATGGCTGCAATTCTCACTACTGGTCCGAAAGAGCCCTGAACCATGCAGGCCCCTGGGCCCATCATCCACTGGGCCCAGGTATATCATCGGATAGAATTAAGGGATCCTATTCTTCTCTTGAGCCCACCACGTTGGCGGATCACATTCGCCACCTAAGCCGCCCAGGAGCGGGCAGCGAAGAGAGCTCGCCAGGCGCTCGGGTTCGGGACGGGCTGCGGGCGCAGGCGCGGGCGCAGGCGCGGGGGCGGGTGGCTGCTCTGGGGAAGCTGGTGAGTTTCGGAGGATATGGAGACCTCTGATCTTCCCAAGCAAAACACAACTTGGTCTGTTTTTGAACGAAGATGACGGAACAAGGGCGCTTCCTTCGCATGTCTGGGAATGGGCGTTCCGACTTGAGTGAACTCGTTAGTTGGAAGCTAGTCTGGAGACGTTTTTGAAGTCAATGACGGGAAGTTTGGGGATGTTCTCCTCATTGAGGACCATGGGATCCCACTTCTGATTCACTTCTGACCCTTTAAAGGACGGTGATTGGCTTGGTTTTCAGGGTCACGTCCGGGTCGTTCAGACTTTGCGAGTGGTAGACCCTGGGAACCAGGGGTCCATGGTCTATACCGAGCCTCTGGACGTCTTCTCTTTTGGAGTCCAAATGTCATAGGAACAGAGGCTCAAGACCCCTTAAAAAAGGAGAGGAGTCACTGGAAAAGGGATCACTGGAGCTGTGATGTTGCTGTATGCTGAAGGGTGTTGCCGGATGGCCATGGATGGCCATCCGGCAACACCCTTTGGTTGCTTGCAACCAAGGACACCTTCGCCCCCGAAAAACGCGTTCACGACCATGTTCGGTCGAGTCTGGGACCAGTGGCATCGACATTTTTTCTATTTACAAAAAGGACGAGTGGGATGAGATCAACTTCCCAAGTGTTGACCTGGGTCGCTTCTTTTTGAGAGCCCATCCCCCTTGAGCTCTGAAAAGAACATGGAAAGCGAAGTCTTGGGGGACTTTGATACTCCAAGTGTTTGACAAACTCCAAGTACTCTCCCCGAAACTAATGGAAGAGGATGGCACACTGTCTTTGGTACGAGGAAAATGGTCTTCCAACAGGCCATGCCATACACTTCCACGTTGGTTCCAGGGAGTGTACTTTGGACGACCCTTCTAAAAGGTTTCAGTTTGGAACTTTGGACGACATCAGGGAGGTGCGTCCTGAGGAATTCTGTCGAACTTGGATGAACCTTCGCCAATGTCGAAGGCAGACATCATCCAATTAGGGTCTCGTTGGCACCATTTAGGGTGATAAACCTAAAGTGAAGGAGTCCAAGAATGGTTCTTCCAGCTTGTGGAGTTCGACGTCTCCTAGGTCCTAAGCCTTGGAATTTGAATCCAGATCAACCAACAGAGGTTTTTCATGACCCGAACGTTCGGCTCTCCCAGTTCGGTACCCTCTAGTTTTTCGGGTTCGGGTCCTAGTTCAGGTGACTGGCCACCTCTAAGGTGTACATGGCTATGGGGCCCAGCACCGAGAGATACCGAAAAACACGACTCCGAGCACGGACGGGTGCATCCCGGTGGAGCACCCGGAGGACCCCATTCGGTGGGTCGCGATCCATCCGTCCATCACCGAAACGAACAGCGCAGGTGGTTTCCAGGTATTGTCCAATACCATACCAAACAACCAGACCTAACCATGGTATCAGACGCAGTGCTGCGCCACGCAGCAGAGACTGCCCAGTTTCTCACCGTTTCTCAGTTCTATTTTTGCCCATCGGCTTGAACACTTCACCCCATATCATCCCATCATCGTCTTCACCCCTTGAACTCTTCGCATGAAGAAGATGCCCAGCTCGCCCCACAACAGAACCCTCCACCACCCAGCTCGCTCGACCAGTGATTCGCGTCCAGGAGTCGGGCGAGAACCCGGCGATCACGCCCAAGACGGACTGCTCGCTTCGACCGGTCGGGCAGTCGGGACTTCTGGGGGTCCTGGGTCGGGACCGGATGGGGTGTGGTGACGCGGAGACGCCCGGCGTGGACGAAGAGAGAGTGAGGAGCCGATTTCGGGGGGTGGTGAAGATTTCGGGGTGAAATGGTGACACTTCGCATCTTGTAGCTGAGAATGTTTGGTCAGGGTGGAACATTGTTGTGGATTCCTTCTTTTTGCCCGTTTGCGGGCTCCGGCGCGCCGTCCCGCAGCCAACCACATAGGTGGTTCTTTTGGCCCGATGTGATGGCTTCCATTTGGGACAGATGGTTTGTACAAACCCCGCTTCGTGGACCGTGTGCTTCAAGATGGTGGATGTTTAGGGGGGCCAGAGAACCCCTGGAGAAGCTGTGAAGAAGCTGTGGAGCAGTTGGACAGTTTGCTTCCTTACCAGGTGTTTCTTGTTTGCTCACTAAGTGGCGACAAGTACCCGTTGCACATCTTCGTGCCTTTGCTGGCTTGCGAAGTCAGTTGGCCTGCATTTTCCGGGGAAGTTTCTCAGGTTGTCTGGTCTGAGAGCTGCAGCAATGAGAGCAGTTTTTCTTTTTTTGAATAAGGGGGTCTTTACAGAGATACAGTTGCCTTGCAGGTGACCGTCATCCAAAGATGTATTTATATAGAACACCAAACAGATGGAAACGTAAATCCCCACTCAACATGTGTTGGACACCGTTCTATGTATTTGGGGACCAAAGCATATTTGGTTACCAAGTCCCCTATGGTCCGACCAGACAATTGGTTTCTGGGTGGTCAGTTTTCCCAGAAAATGTAAGATCGATAGCTCCTTTGACAGAGGGAGCGGGAGAGAGAGAGAGAGAGAGTGTGAGAGAGTGCTCCACAGCCAGTTGTGTGTTTCCCTTCTTAAGATTATTATGTTTTTTCTTATTTCAAATAAGAATGATTCAGAATGAGTTAGTGCTATCTGGGGTCTATGCCGGTTTTACATGCTTCCTTTTCTTCCCTATTCTGTTTTAGGAAAGGGCAGTCTGTTCTGGGAAAACATACCCTGCGCACCCTGTGCACCGCCAGCGCCATCGGGCTCTCAGGAGCTCAACAGCCTTTGCATGTGCGGGAGCTCAGTGAAGGGAGTTTCAGGGAGAGGTCTAAGATGCCTGACCTGACGACCTGACCTCTGGGGGTCGGTGTGAGAGACGAAGAACAGCCGAGGTCCACCTGATGCTGTGAACAGTTCATGGAATGAGTTGTCAGTCAATACCTTACTTAGAAGGTACTAGGTCAACTGATGCTGTTCACAGCTTTTTGGTGGAAGACACCACCTGAGCAGAAAGAGACACCTTTTGATTGATTCTGATGTCTCATGATGTCTCTTCTGACTCCAAGACCGTGGTCTTGGTCGTCCCGGGGCGAGCCTCAGGGTCGGCAGGGGGGTGACCCAAGTGGTTGCGCTCTTCGTTTTGGGATGTTTTCGGAACTGCTGGAGTCAGTGAGAACTGTCAGCTTTTGAAGCTTCACTGGCAATCGGAACCCCCAAAGTTCTTGATGGGATTTAAGGGGAATGGTTACAGCCTTTGGAAAGGACCTTGAAATCATGTGAGACCAGCTCAAACATGGTCGAAGTCTGGTGGAAGTTAAAAATAACTGAAGCCGGTAGCAGCAGTTCATGATGACCCAAGAAGAGCACGCGGAGAAGAGTCTGTTTAGACAGACCTCGGAAACACATCCCCACCAGTTTTGGTCCTCAAAGATGTCCCATGGGCACCATGGGCGCCGCCAAACATCGCAGCCAAATCAGCATAGAAAGACCAAAAAGGCTCACGATCACCACGAATGACACATGTTCTTCGTGTTCCAGAATAGCTTAGACTCGATACCCACAAAGAGAAGTGGATCGAAAGGGGGGAAAGAAGACCATCGGTCCTTGTTCCTGGCCACCAGCGGTCTGAGATGCAGGGTCCTTGATAAACATTTGCTTTTTGGAGAGAAGCTCGGGGAGGGTGGTGCGAAAGGGTGCGAAGGGCATAGATGAACTGGGAGTGGGAAAAGATATTATGTTTATTTTCTCCTTATGTCAGAAACCATTTTCCAATGAAACAGATGAAAGGGATTTCATTGCAAATCGTGTCCATCGACATGGTCGGACGTTTTTATATTGATCACATCCTCATGTGACATGACTTGGGCATGGGTATGTGAAGATCAAGAAGGGAAAGCTTTCCCCAGCTTTCCGAAAAATGAGGGTATAGCTTGGGTTTGTCTGTTCTTACGTGCCACAGGACCAAAACAAGCAAATATCACTCTTTTAGAGGAAGACCTGCAAGTGAACCATCATCATCCACTGGGTTCTGGTAATGGGATAGGCCCAAGGTATAACAGGAGTCAAAAGGAAAAGGGCACAAAAACCATGGAGTTTCTTGTTTTTGGAGGATTTCCCAGTGCTCGGACCGATTGTGCTTGAACCAAGCACTGAAGGACATGAAGAAGAAGAAGTAGGGTTTTGAAACGGTTTCTCGGATTCTTTCTCGGAGTTTGCTGTCTGTTTGGTGGCAGAAAGGTACTGTCGCTGCAGACTGGGGTGCATCTCTTTCTTCGGAAGTAGTTAAGTAGTACTTCTCTTTCTGCTTCCACTGCATGTCTTCTTCTCTCCAGGGTGTCCTTTGGGAGTCCAGGCCCCCACGCTTCTTTCGCCCAAGGCGGATCATCGGCCGCTTTCTGAAGAAGGGCGAGACGGTGTCATGGCCGGGGATTGGGTCGGGTGGTGCCGAGTTCCACAGTCTTAAAGACATAGAACCCTTAGAACAGGGAAGACTCAGTAGCCCAACAGGGAAGGCTCCACAGCTGCTGGCCCAACAGGTCGCTGACTGCAAGGTTTTGAATAGAAACAAAGGTCGCTGCTTAACCCTCCCTGAAACACTCATAGAAGTATACATAATGGCCGGAAAGATCCTTTTCCTCTACAAACAGGGGGTGCCATCCACGTAACGATTGTTGCAGGGAGTGTAAACACAGATGACACACAACATCAATCCTCTGGGAAGACCGGAGACCGAGTTCGGGGTTGATGGAAGCGACGTGGGAAGCGTTGCGATGATGTTGCCGACCTTTGGAGGGCTCCGTCAAAGGAGAGACCAACAGGTCCCTCCAAATCCTAGAGCCTCCCAAGCCCTGAAAAACGAGGATGATTCGATCTTCTTGAGAAGGTTTGCGTTTGGGCGAGAGAAAGATCTCACCAAGCTCCAGAGTGTATGTGGGTGTGTATTTGAGTGAGGAGATTTGGTGGCCCAAGGGATAGAGTGGTTTATTTGCCATGAGATGGTGGTCCTGCAGGTGGCTTGCATGTTACCCAAGCCGTCTAGCCTTCAAAGACCATTAAAAAAATGGTTGACCTAGATTTTGAATGTAAAATCCATAGCAATACCATGGTTCTTTGGCACAGGCCATAAAAGCAAACTTTTGTTGGACTCTCCGAGTCTGAAAAGGCACTGGGCAGATTTCCAGGCATTCGGGCTGATTGAGGATCCAAAGCATTTGTCTAGACCAAAGGAGCGACAAGCAACTGCTGTTTTGGATCAGAAAAAAGGGTCAGCCTTCTTCCACTCAACTGCCTTCTCTCTCCGCTCTCTTGGGCCGGAAAGCCTCCGGTCCTACACAGGCCGACAGCAGGCCCCCGAAAGTACTTGGGTGGAAAACACTGGGTTTTGGGGAGAGTTGTGATCGGTGTTGAAAGGGTGTGGATGACCTTCCCCAAATCCACGAAGACGTGGATGTGTGACCTCGGTGGTGTTCCCATCCATGGTTCACCCCAACGGAGGTCCATCGGGTCCGACACACGTCGACCGGCCTGACGATGGGACCAGCGGACCTGCGGACGTACATCGGGGTGGTACATCGACGACCCTTGAGGAGGACGAGGACTCACCCCAGCCATTGGAAGAGGATCTCTTTTCAGGACTCGGGGAGTGTATGGTCCTCAAGAGGTCTACATTAAATCAACCACCTGATGGGCCAATAATGAGGTTTAAGGAGCGGTCCGAGTGGTCAGATTTCAGGGTCCAGTGGACCAGGGGCCCAGGGCTTTCATAGCCCCAGGCCCATTCCGTGTGACTCTGTTTTGGATGTCCTGCGTGACCCCTGTGTGTGGATGTCCGGTTCTGCGTGTCGGTTCCGGTTGGAGCGGTGGACTTGGAGGGCGTTCTTCCCTAAAAAGGCTTCATCCCACTGAGAAAAACCGAGAAAACACGAGTCGATGGCAGTTGACGGAGTCGACAGAGTCGGTCCAGTGGGAGGGTTCGAGTCGATGGAGGCCAACCATGGTTTTACGAAGGGTTTTACACGAAACCAACCAGGTCAACCATTCTTTTAATGGTGGAACTGAAGGCTAGGGTAAGATCTTGGAGACCTACTCCGCCCTGAGATTCTTTTGCCGGAAGGAACACGTAGGGCTTGGGAAACCGGACGAACCGGTAACACCTGCCGTTTGGGTGGAGAAGGTCCGAGCCTGGCCATGGGGTCAGGCCCGTCACTGGTGGCAGGCAATGACGGAGACACGTTTCACAGAGCGCAGCTTCTTTTTTTTGCTCTGACATAGAGAGACACAAAAGTGACACTCAGACGTTCTTGGTGCAAAGATGAGTCGTCGTCGTCGTCGTCGTCGTCGTCGTCGTCGTCGTCGTCGTCGT